TTGTCTTCGGTATGGCCATCTTCGGCTTCGTACTGGAAAATTCAAATTTTTCCAGAAAAAAGGGCAGATAAATTATCTTTCCCGTACCTGATTATGCCAAAGCGTTGGGAAGTAATGATTTTCTATAGGTTTATCGCATTGCAACCCGGTAACTCTTGGTCGGCAACGGCACTGCCCAGTTTCACCATCGCAATCAGCTCGAAGTGAGCCACCAATGTCACATTTACAAGCTAAAATAATTTTTTTTATAACTTTTTAGCCACACCCGTCTAGCGAATCCAAGCGATAAGTCTCTCACGTTCGCAACCAAGCTGATTGTAGCCTTGCAAATTGTAAAAACCATCCGCACATTTATCACATTGACGTCCACCTGCGTTTCGTTTACACACACATTGTCCCGATCTAAACAATGAGCGCATTGCAGCTGCAGTGGACGTAATTGCGGCGTAAACGATAGCAAAAAGTAGAGGAAATCAGTCTTACTTTTGATCGCAGGTATCGAACATGGAAACCGTTCCATTTAGATGGCAGCCACATTCTGAAAATTGGCAGTTATACCACCTTTTTTTCTTTTCATGTTTACACTAGTAATTCCATATTGGCTAAGTGCCAAATGAAGAGTTGACAAGCTTTAGAACTTTCATAATCGATTCTAAACTGCAGCAAAAAACCTAAGTCTTCAGCCTGAGCCTTCAAAAACAATATGTCTATAATGAGAAAGGGGAAAAAATTTACGCAAAGAAACGATTTCATAGCCATTTTTGGTTCTGTTGATATGCCTTTTGTTAACTGCCAATGTACTTAAGGGCGCTGATTGGCCCATTCGAATATGTACGGTACTATGCGAGTGGCAGAGAGAACAAAAATCAGCCGAAAGTAGTTTTCAATACCTCCGCAAATTCATTCTGATTTTACATTTTCTTTATTGCCAACCTCTACCGCTACCGTACTCAACGGCGCTGATTGGTCCACTCAAAATGCTAGGGTATTGGGGCAGATGCACAGCGGACAGAATAATCCGATATCGCAATTTGTA